AGTGAGTTTAAGAAAGAGTTTGATAAGTATTTGAATGAAAAGGGCTGGGTTTAAAAATTTGTTATTTTATTTTTTCAATCATTTTAATTTAGTTTTGAGGATGGAACAGTTGAGATGGACCAATAAGTCCCATGTTGTCCCAAAATATTATGTTAAATCCTGTATTTAACGAAGTACTGTTGCAATACAATAGATACTAATTTGATTACAAATGTTTTCCAGGTCTCTGCTAGTATATGTATAATAAACACTGTGGGAGCAAATGTTGCTAATCAGTTAGTATTAGAGAAAACATTACGAAATAAAATTGAGACCAATTTAATTATTGTTTGTTTCGGAGTAAGAAATTAATTACATATACTCTGTAGTTATGTGTGTGTGTATGTGTACAATGATATATATATATATATATATATAGAATTGTGCAGCTCTTATTAATAATTTGAATAGTTCTAAAAAATCTTCCATCACCTCAAGCTATCTATGCTGTAGTAGTACTAGTACCAATTGAAAGTAAACTCATTATAATGTATCCTGTGTTATTAGTAGAGTTGAATGACAGTATCCTCATCTTTTCAGAGGTCCCACATGAAAACACATGTGGAACAAATTGCACACTATATCACTACCCAAAAAACTTTACCATTTTACATTTCTCAAGACACAGTACTTAAGGGAGAAAAATGTAAATTACACAGAATAAATATGTGATAATGTGTTTTGCTTCTTTGAAATTTGAGCTATCATAGTAATGCACGCATTAATTATCAAAAGCAGAATGACAGAAATATTTTTGCTCAAATACTCATTACTTTATGTTGATTTGTTTTGTTTTAAATTTTGTGAAAATCTACTCAAGGACTATCTGCACTTACTGTCCTTAATTTAGCAGTGATAGACTAGAGGGAAGGCAACTAGCCAACACCACCCACAGGCAACTCTTGAGCTACTTTTTTACCAACAAATAGTAGAATTAACCATCACATCATAATGCCCCCGCAGCTAAAAGGGCAACCATATTTAGTAACAGAGATTTGAACCTGAGATTCACAGATTGCAAGTCAAACACCCTAACCATCAGGCCATGCCAAGCCCCATTTTATATTGGAGTAAATATAAATGAAGCATTTGGTTAAGTTGAATTTAACAGTTTTTTTTTTCATATAATGCATCCACATTTTTCTTAAAGCATATTTTGCAGGTACATACACATTGGACCTGAAAGCTATTCATTACATAATGTGACACTGTCAACAACAAGAAGAAAAAAAAAAGGGGGGCCATAAAATACTAATAAGAAATTAGTATTAAGATAAGATACCCTGTAGTATATATCTGAGTTTTTATTATGAAACATGAATTTCAACAAAAATAATATTACTTTTATAAATATAATTAAAAAATTATACCTTTATGCTCTACTTTGCTTGTGTTAATTTTTTAGCCTTGCACAATACTGAATACCTTTTGCTGCAGATAAAATCATTAATGTGAAAAAAGAAATGACTGGAGAGCTTATATTTTCTAATATTTATCCATTATTTTAACATTCAATAACTAGTTTGAATGTAAATGTTATCAATGGAACCCTTTAAAATATGACGTAAAGTTTGTGATTTTTTTTAAAACACTGATGGAACTCTCATACCACCAACTGATTATTAATATGCCACATCCATGGAATTAACCAATCACAGCAGACCTTGCAAACATACATAGATCCTATTGGTGTAGCTTCAATACTTGCCATTTTTGTGGTGCTTTATTTGAATATTAAGGGAAATATTGTTTCAAATATTTTATTATTCAGATGCAAAATTCTTGCATAAGTACAAGTTTATTTATAAAAACAACAATAGAAAACTTAAAAGCATTAAACTGCAGCATCATGAACACAAGTTTAAAATTAGTTGTAGAACTCAAAGGGTGCATGCAGTCATGGCAGAGAAGACAAAGGTATCACAACAGAGACGAACTGTGTTAATGGTGTTAGAGAAGAAAAATAATTCACACATAGAAGAAACTGTTGCAAGCAATATTGATACTGCCAGTAATTACTTCATTTACTTTTAATTCAGATACCAAACAAACTTGTTCAAATAATACTGCTTTACCCATAACAGTAGTTAATTTGTTTTTGCTAATTCTAAACCATATAACAGGGTCGGTAATACTATAGAACCGCAACTGTTGTTTCAAGTAATAGTACGTTATATTAACATTAGTCCTAATGAGAGTGATTTTTCATAATATACTACAAAAATTAACATTCCAATTTTGATATATTGACAATTCATTTGAGAGTGTATAATAAAATAACTTATTCACAAGTGAATTTTGTTTTAAAGAATTGAAAAACATATATTTATCTTACAGAATGGTTAACAAAGTGTGTGACATTTCCATAGTGTGCAGCATCTACAGTAAATGGGCAATCTCCATCATTGTAATCCAAATCAAAAAGATATGTCCTTCCTCTACTGTCATATATCTGCCCTCTTTTTTCAGCTTCTTCACTTGTTATAACCTAAAAAAATACAAAGCATGTTCAAATGTGCATCAAATAAATAGAAGCCTCAAAAGCTTCCATGTCATAAATATGATGGTTAATAAAAATATATAACTTACTATGAACAGTTCCAATTTTTAAAGTTGACAGATACAAAACCCATAATATGTAATCCTAAAAATGAATTTCAAACTGGTACTTAACTATGAAATATTGATAGCCTTTCCACGTTGAATTTCTCTCATGCTGTCAATAATCATGTGACTCAAAGTTCCAAACTGTACTTTTTTTTTTGCAGCAATGGGATGTAAATGATAGTTATATAACACCTTTGGGTATAACATAAAATAGTTTATGAATTAATATAGATCATACCTGACAAAAAAAAAAATCAGACCAGGAGAAGTGACTTCAGAATTAAAACTATTTGACAAATCCTACTTTCAAACAATGAAGGTGAACAGTTCGCAGTAAAAGACTGTTGTTATTTTTATCATAAATAGAAAAAAAGAAAGAGTTGATATTCCAACATTTAGCAACAACACAAACATGAAACATAGCAGTAGATAATACATAATTAACAGCCTGATGTCAGAAAAATATGTAGGTTCAAAAAGTCTTAATACAAAATGATAAAAACCTTATAACCCGAGTGCTTTCAAAAGGTGGACGTTTCTTCTTCAGAGGAAAGCACTTGGGTTATAGGATTTTTATCATTTTATAATTAACAGCCAGAATACATTGATCAAGAGAGGCTAAAAATACAGTCAAAGGACATCCTTGCCAGCTGGAGGCAGATTACATGAGTTAGGCATCCAAAGAAGTTGTAAAAGTTCCTTAAGTAATAAAAAGATTTGCATTAATAGTTAACAATGGCTTCAGAATTCAACAAGAAAATCTGAAGTATTGTGGATAAACAGAGCTTGTGTAAATTCTTTTGATGAATGTGTATCAAGTCACGTAGAAGATGTTAAGAGTGGAGAATTCAGGGTAAGTTGATGCATGCTTTGCATTGCTTCAAGAAAAATCACAACTTTGAGTCACATGGTTTTGAAATATGAGAACAACTCAACAAGGAAATGCCTTCAGTATTTCAGAGGTAAGTTTCACTTGAAATGTATGTATAACAGAATTCAAGTGAAGGGAACGTGCTGATGATTTAGAATTCAGATAGCCATAAAAAACTTCATTCTGTAATAAAAATACTTATATTTGACACACCTTCAATTAATTCCAACTAACAAAAAGCTACACAATGGTCTACGCATCACAAGCATCAAAATTTGATTTTTAGTGTTATAAGTCCTCAGACTTACTAATGAGCCACTAGGGTGCTCCAACTAAGTTGAATTAAGCTACTATGATAAAATTTTAAACTTCAGTAGAAATGGAAAAAAATGTCTTCATTTTCTGAAAAAATAATATGGTTAAAACAAGACAGAAATGAAACAGTAAAAAGTTATGAAAATTAAAATAACTGAACAATTCAAATAACCAAACATTCTCAAATATTGCTATTATAATTTCATCTAAAAATGTAATATGGATGTAGATATTTCAGTTTTGGTGTAAAAATAATGTACCAGTTTTATTTCGAAAAATACACAAAATGCACACTTTACAATCTGCAAGAAGTATTTCCAATCCCATAAGCTTTCTGCCAGTAATCCATAGAAAAGTGACCAGATAGAGAAAAATTAACAAATCTTTGTTAGTTCTGTCAACAATTTAAGATGATATGAGCAACATGATAACATAAAAGTCATGCACAAGTTTTTCTAAGTCTTGCTCTTATAGTTGTTTAATATCAGGCCACAATGTAATTCATTCACTCAGGTTGTGGTTCACATTCTGTAGTAGATTGTCGTGATTCTCTGCTTCAAATATTCAGTGTTTGATACATACCCCTCCACTAAAAACAAAGAGTAATGGTGTAAGATCAGTCTTTCATTGCACTGGAACTGGTCACAGAATCAGTGACCAACATTTTTGTGTCAGACAAAGAAATCTCTTCTAAGACACCCACATAACCTTACTTCCATATTTTCATGTAAAGCTACACAAAAAAGCCATTTCTAATTTTGAACTATAGAATAGAGAAAAGGCAGCTAGTTAAAAGCACCCATTGTAAAAAATTTCTAATCTGACTGAATAGTGGGATTTGACTGTCACTCTTATAGCATACACATGGGCCAAAAATGTGGGGTGAATTTTTTTAATAGCTGCAAACAAATGACAAATCATCAGATTCATAGTCTGAGCATTCTAATTACAAAAATTCAAATAGTTTTCTTCAACCTCAATTTGTTTTATTACAAATATTTTTATACGCGTCATACAAAATTTGCTTCTACAACATATCCAGGAAAGGAAGACCAAATGTAGAAACTGTATATAAGGTACTTAATCAGGGAAAAATGTCAGAATATGGTGAAAGTCAACAAAGTGTACATTACCTTGATAGGTGTAACTAGTCTTATGACATTTCCTACTTGTCAATGGGCGGAAAAAAATTCCAAAGTGTTAGATGAGATTCATCACTGGATGTTGTGTCAGGGGGTAAGTTAATGAACAGGTGAAGTTGAACTGCACTTAATATCAGACCAATATTCTGAAGCCTTTTTGCCACATAGAAATACCAGCTTTGAACATAAACAAGGCCAACAATCTATGGAATCACCAAGATAAGGCTTCCAGCCATACCTTTCTTTCAACCATCACATACCTTAGTCAGCAAGAGAAAGAAATGGGTATTCATGAAATTCCAAAAAGACATACCAGGCAAGTTGCTAGATGTAGTGTGTATGGATTTCCAGCAAGTGGACTGTTAAAAAGGATGGTGGAAAACTATCCTCCTCATACAATAGATGGATTATGAAGAGCTATCAGAATGAAATGATGTGCTTTGGACATGAATGCTTTACAGCCTATTTCAATGAAAACTACACTCAAGGGTTATTTTCAAAATGAATGGTTGTCAGGTAGAGCTTTACGAGACCTGGCGACCGACTGTAATAACATGTTGAGGCTTCAAAATCATTAAATCTTGTCCAGCCTGATATCTCAGGGTTTTCAAGAAAGTAAAATGGCAACATCAAGTTTTGAAATATTCTGTGTAATCTCTTTCTTAAAATCCCTCCACAAACAAAATTTATAAATGAAATGTTAAGATTTGAAATGTTCTTTTCATGTAAGTCTCATTTACATTTAATTTTGATAAAGTAATTTAAAAAATTAAAATTTCTAGCCTTAATTTTTTATTTTTGCCCCATGATAATTAATTATTGAGTTGGTGGAAAATGTTAAATTTCCAGCTTGCATAGATACAACTTGTCAGTTAGTTCAAATAGCTTGAAAATAGTGAATTTTTGAAGTTGGTGATATCAAAAATAGTAAAATCCAAGTTTCCACATTTTTAATAGAATTTTCAAGTTTCTTAATCTAATAAGATCATCGGTATGTCACCTGAAACCTAGGATTATATTCTTTCTTACAATCTTTTTTCCCTTAAAGTTCCCTTCACACCTTATATACATACACTAAATTGTAAATTTGTGAACTTTCTTACTACATTTTGAGGTCATACTGAGCTTCTGTCTTATAAGTTACAAAAAGTTTTCTATTATTCATATGTCATGGAATGATAATAAATTAACTACTTTCCCTACCTATTTACTTATTTTATTGAATTAATCACTATGGTAATTAAAATGTTGTACACAAGAACTTTTGTATCTATTATTTTACAGCTGATGTAACTGGTTATCCATTCTTCCATTGGTTCTATCATTTTTCAACTTTTTGTGGTATAACATGTAAAATAACATATTTACTCAATGGATAACAAATCTTATATAAAAGACCTATCAACATCTATTTTAAGTGTTTTATTAGATTCAATGATTTAAATTTTGTGTTTTGAAAATATCATGATTAATAATAAAAACCATAAAAATCACAAAATCTAGGTAACCTTACCTCACCAACATATTCCATAACAAAAGTCCCCTTTTTGATTTTTTCAAGAGTTTTCACTCCCCATCCTCTACCATCATCTGTTCTAAATATTGCCAACTTAACCTAATAGAGAAAAAAAAAACATTAAAAATCTGATATATTTTTGTCAGATATTATGTCACACAAAACATAATTGAAAACATATTGCAATTGCTGGTAAAAATATGTAAAAAATTACTGATGGAAGCTAAAAATCCAATTGTAATAAAAATTTCAATTATTAACTACTATCATGTACTATAAAACAGAGTATGATAGAATTTAAAGAAAAATGACAATTCAAAAATATAAAACTACCATTTCCAATTACAGTTTCTCTGAAATAACATTCTAATTAACATATTTTATTAAAAGATTTCAATAAAATATGTTAAATGCATCTTCTATATGAAAAATGTATGATTAAATAATTTTTCACTTAACCTTATATTATTAATGATTTAAAGTTATACAACTGATTCATGTTAGAAATAACTGGTGGCGACATTAAATCCCAACTACAATAAGCTTAATATATCAGAAAACTTCTGTGATTAAACAGTAGTCATTGCATACCAAAAATTAAATGTATAGCTTAAAAGTAAACTAAGCCATCCTACTGATCAAAACCACCAAAATATGTCCAATAGAGTTCACAATAAAATAGTTTTCACGAGGTTGACAACTGTAAGTTAAAAGCTGACAAAAAGGGGGTTAAATTTTGTTTTCATGCCACCAGAAATGAAGTGTTCTCCAATTACAGAACTTGTTTTTGAACAACAGTCAAGCTTCCTCCTTTTTAAAGACAATGAACCAAACAATCAGACTGAAAAGTTATAATGAAAGTCAGATTCATTCAAAACTTATAATTTTTTGATAACACAGTGATGAAAAACAATATTTTTTACAAAACTTTTAAATTTAAATAATAATTCTCTGAACACATTATTAATGTCATACGTCTCCATAACAAACCACCCTAATAAGTGCAAATAATCATGCATCACTTCTCCACAAATGGGTGTGAAATACTCACGTGACGCATGCAACTATCACTTCAAAGTTTGGCAGAAGACATAAGCACCAGAGGAATGTGGGGAGGAAGGATGGGATGTGTGAGTGGAGGGAAGTACCTATCGGAAATACATTTTTAGTATAGGAAAATTATAACTTTTGATACGGTACTTCCCTCCACTCACAAAATTAACTAGAATCCCACATTTATTAGATGGAGGGACTGGTGCAAGGGAATGACAAAAGTACCCCCAAAAGCTCCCAAAGGACACCCCCTAGAAATGAGAAAGTCAGATATAAAAATCTGATGAGGGGGAACCGCACCACTTCTGAACCAGGTATACTCTTCGCCCATCAATAAAGTGTATAGGAGATAAGGGCAGAAAAAGACAGGAGCACATCCAAGTGGGAGAGAACTGAGGCAGGATCCTAACCATGAAATATATATGAAACTTAATCCCACAAAGTATGAAAGTGGGTAAATCAATGAATGTGCCCCTTGGTGTAGAGTGGCTAGTGGTATCAAAAGGATGTCTAGTAAATATAAATCCACTCCCCCAACAGCAAAAACCCACCAGAACCATCCAAAAAGCAATAAGATCCTCTGAATAAGATACACGAGGGATAGCAAAAAGGGGCAGAACCAGAACAATTCCCCTTACCTCCACTGTGACCCACAACACAGAAGGAATATAATAGAGGGAGGAATTTAGACAACCATAAACATGATTGGTTCTACTCTAAACCCAAAACCCAGCCATGGGTTACCAGCATCCATGCAGGAGTAGGATGAGAGCTCCCAATCAAAGGGATGGACTGCAATTGGACGTCTCACTCCTTAGTGATTGTATAATGCATAGTGAAGGATATCACGTCACTTACACCCACTGAACACCACCACCCTACTCTGCACTGAATGGTTATTGCCATCTTTGTGTAGAACTCATTCAAGAGTGTGCTTCCATGGTTGACCACCCCAGTGGCTTGGAACTGGAAAGTGGTAAGGACTTCCAAACTCCACTATAACAAAGTCGGGAGTGAGAATGAGTTGGAGAGTCTGGAGGAACGTCATCACCTGGAACAGTGCAAAGGGTGACCACAAGACCAAATTTTGAAAAGCATACCATATATCAGTATATTCAATACAAGGCATGGCAGGGATGGGCAGCTATCCCCTTCTGCTTTACCCATGCAGTCCATGAGTGGTATGGTCCAGAACGGAAAAGTTTATGAGTAATTACATCGCAAAGTTATTCACGTACAAGCAATCTTGTGGAACACCCCATCTCAATGGTGAGCATTGTAAAGCCATGGAAGTTAAAGTGTGAATTAACATGGCTGTACAGTGCAGATTTCTGACTGAAAAATACCTGGTTGTGCACTGCTCACCACAGAGCAGGATCCCTATAAATAATAAATGAAGCAAGGGTCCCTGAAATGAAAAGCATGTATGAATATAGACCTACCCAGCCAAAGTCACATCGAAGTGTGAAGAATAGCCACAGGTGAAAGATAAATGTATTAGGTGTAGTCCACATGCCTGATTGTAGGATTTCCTCCAATGGTCAATGAAGACAAGATTCGAAGGAAAATGTGAGATGTAAAATCTGATGAAAAGACACCCTGAACAAATTCCATTGGGAAGAAGCCAAGGAGGAATAAGCTAATTGAATCAAACATCAAACCCAATTGGGGAGGGTAAAAGGGGATAGATCACAAACAGAGGAAGACTGCCAAGGGGTAAAGAGTCAGGAACGAGTACCACAGAAGGAAGCTGTGCGGGCAATATAGCAACCAAGAATACGGACCAGACATAGAAGTCTATCGTGATCAAGATGAGGGTAGAGATTAGAAATAAAAGGAAGGGAAATAGGTGAAATGGAGGAGTTACCCTTCCTAGCTGCTGAAGTTTTGGGGAGGAAGGAACGAGCTGAATAAGGGAGAAGATAGGGGTGTGGTGGTAAAGATTACATGAAATGTCAATGGCAAATAAATCAGACCTTCAACGTCAACAGGCAAAGAGGAGAAGGAAATATGTTTTCAGGGAAAGGTAAAACATAGAACACAAGGAAATAGGTTCAAATGGAGGGAATGGAGGACTACATTAATATCCCAGTCCTGAATACTATGCCGTCTGGGGGAGGGGGGGATGACGAATCCAGAAGGAACAGGGGAAGCATAAACTTGACAGTATCAGGAAAACAAAGGGTATAGGATAAGGCAGCCCAATAACCCGAGACTGAAGACCCTCTAGTCGAAAAGCCCTGTGAGAAACTCAACCACAAGAGCCACAGTAGGACGGTCAGTGGAGAATCCCCAAGTAGTGGACCAACTGTGGAACACCTTCCATTTGTGCTGATACACCTTCATCGAAGAAACACATATGGAATAAGCCAAAAGGAAAGCTACTCAAAGGGAGAAACCTTATATCCTCGCCATGGACCAGATAAAAGCCAGGTGTGAAGATGAAGAACATAAATGGCGGGATGTAGAACCAGTGACCGAGGTTGACAAAGAAGGGAGGGAGACAAGAGAAGGGGTACTGGAGGAAAAAGTTGCAGTTGGTGTAATTATGGAAACCACAGTTGAGCTGAAAAATAGGGATCAATCAGAAAGACTCGACACAGAGTGGTATGGATGAGAGAGACCGCCCAATGAGGTAATCAGATAAGAGGATAAACATAAAGGAATTTGTGGGACCTAAAAACTACTCTGTCAGAAAAAATTGGATAGAGCGGAAAAGGTGATCCACTACAAGATTAAAAGCACCCGGAACTTGACACACAATGAGATGGATGCAGTGCATGTGGTCCCAATATAGGAGATCCAGTGTACAGAAACAGAGAGATCTTGACTGGGTGCCCCTTTGGTGACTGATATGTGCTATCACCATAGAATCATCAGAAGGAAACATCACCAGACAATGTTTGGCAAGAGGAAGAAAGTGATTCAAAGCCCAACAAACCACAAAAAGCTCAAGGATGTTGATATGCAAAGTCTGCTCATCAACAGACCAACAATCTGAAGCCTCTTAGTGATTGACCCATGCACCTCAGCCCTGAACAGTTGTAAATCTGGATGAGGAGGAGGAAGCAGGATGCCCACTGACATATGAGCCTTGTCCAACTACCAAAACAGATCGTCCAACAGGGTATGAGGAATCGTAACAGGAGCTGCCAATGAATCCCGAACAAGGTTCCATTGATCGTGAAGGGCCCACCAAAGGGATCGCATAAGTGCATGACTGAGGGGGACAAGTGGCACCATCGAAGACCACATCCCCAAAAGTGATAGAACCTCTTGAGCAGAAAGTTCCATAGAACAAAGTTGTGGAGAATGTTAAGCCTGACTGAGATGAGTGTCAAAGAGGACACCTAAATAGACAAGATATTGGGTAGAAGAGAGAAACTTCTCCAATGTGATTAACCAGCCCACCCGAGCAGACACGTGAAGGAGCTGACAAGTATGGCTGGCTGGCTTTAATTCAGAATGAGCCAGATAAAACCAGTTGTCCCTATAATGGTGGAATCACAGCCTCAGAGGATGAAGATGGTGGGCAAAAGCTCTGACTACCAGACAGAAAACATAAAGGGGTAGAAGCGAGCCCTAAGGGTAGGGTGAGAAAATGGTAAACCATCCCGTGATGGATGAGCCGAAGATATGAACAAGGCCGTGTTGAGACAGGGATGTGTTGATAAGCATTGGCGACATCCATCTTGGTCATCCATACACACATTGAGAAAACACCCACCATAGAGGGAGAAATGATTTCATGGTAAAACGAGGCAGTTGAATGAATCGATTGAGGAGGGAAAAATCGATGACAGGCCTCCAGTATCCAGGTTTCTTGGGAACAACAAAGAGTCCGAGATAAAAACCTGTTGAAGTATGTAGAACAGGTTCGATAGCCTGTTGAGACAGTAGGTCCTGAACTGCCTTCAATAGACATTTGCTGGTCATTGCATCCTGAGGCAGAGGGAAGAAAATGTGTATAGAAGACACGGAAGGTGGGGAAAGAAATGGGATCACAAATCCTTCCAATAAAATTTTAAGAACCCAGTGATCCTTAACGAAAGGACATCATTAATGAAGAAAATCAGCAAGTTGAGCTCCCAATAGGACCACAACCTACTTAGTAGTCATCGATACTCTTGACAACATGACATGCATTATCAAAGAAAATGACAAGATGAGGCAGGAGGGATAGGTAAGGGTTGTGAAGAAAAAGGATGGGAAACTGTAGTAGGTGCCATATTGGGCTCCAACTGAGACAAATGGGCAACAAGAGTGGAAAGGGTAGACTGTTATTGTACTGATGCAAGTCATGACTCCAAGGGCAGAGTGATCATGTCAAATATGCAACGGCCCAAAAATGAAGCTATACATAAATCCTGAAGATAAGATGCTGGTAAACGGATGCAAGTTAAAATCGCATCACAGCCTAGAAAGTCTCAACAACAGGGAAACCATGTATGCAAAGCTAGAGCCAAAGACAACAAACGAGCCAATGTGGAAGAAAAAAGGGAGAGGATGTCACCAGAAAACCCCTCAGAATTCTGGTGGAGAGCCCCAGAGAGGAGATGGATGGTAGAAAGATACCGTAAAAGAGTATAAGATGAAGGAGAGAAAATTGTGCATGGGTCAGACTTACAGGAGATTCAGGGACTGCCCCCAAACAGGTAAAAATAGAACCTAACACTTGTTGGTCTAGAAAAGGACAGCCTGCATGATGATATGCAAGAGCAAACTGATTCAAAGCCCATGAGTGGTGAGGAATGCTAATCCCATTACTTAATTGTGAGGTAAATTGGTCAGCATGTACCTGAATATCTGGGGAGGGGGAAAACTAAATAGGGATGTGAAGATTAGTCATGTAGTAAGGAAGGATGCAGTTCATAGGAAATAGGGGCAAGGGATAAAACATCACATACCAGAGAAATGAAATCCAAAAAGACCATAGTAGGCCTAACTGACTCCTCAGGAGGGGCATGGGAGGGCACGGCAAAATCCAAAGGTGAAAATAGGCAATCCAAGCCCTCATCAGCCTGAACAGGCTCAGCATGTTTGGTAGGAAGTGGAGCAAGGTCTGGAGATAGAGGCTGACCCATGTAACATTCAATCTCCCTGCACATAAATGCTGATAAATCTCCCACTGGGTCACCCTCACCTGAGGCCTGTGACATAGCACTAGTTGCAGTTGTGAACCCCGAAGTGGTAACATGAACTTCAGAATTGATATCAAGAGGAGTCAACCAAAATCGAAATTATTAATAATAATAATAATAATTGCAACTATAAGGAACTGGGAGTAAACTAAAATGAAGAAACAGTCTTAATAAAGTTGAAAGTAATTTAAGTGAAAGCCACTTCACGAGTATACTAAAGTTGAATGTGAACTTGAAACAAACAAAGGAACATGTCCAAGAACAAGTACAGAAATATATTTTTGTTGTTCTAATGTGTAGGTCCATTTGCTTTTTATTGCCTTTCTAAGGTTCTGTATAATACTGGGTATATAGAACTGTTTTGCTGTAAATCTCAAAATGCTGCACAGCTGTTAGTTAAAGGAACATTAGATACTCACACTTAAAAGAAACTGCCTAGAAGATTATGCTTGTATATCAGTTTCACTATTATTAAATTTAAAAACCATTCCAATTGCATATGCTAGCAGAACATCATTAATTCAACAAGTTTACATGTCACTATTAACATGTGCTACTTTCACAGTTTTTGTTTAAATAGAAATGGACATAGACAGTATATGTTTACTTAACCAGACATTTCATTTTCTTTAATATGATTTGGTAAATTTGAGTTTAATTTCAGTGAAGTATTTTATATAAAAAACAAACACACAGAAAAAAGATATTAACACATTTGTGACAGATACATAAAGACTAAACAAGGAAATCATTGTTAAACTAACCTTTCTTCCATGCTGAACAACCCTATTGTGGCAGGTATGTCCACACTTACAGCGCTTGTTACATTCATAGATTGGTACGCCAGGTTCGACTTTTAAATACCCGTATCGATTATATGCAAACAGGCCTCCAGACTGGGTAGAGCAACAGTTTTTTTGACTTTCAAGGCAACTGTCACATTCACATCCAACAAGTGGATCCTCAGGAATAACAATTCCTTCACTTGGTTTATAATCAGTTATATATGTGAAATTTTCTGGTGGCCCTTCTATGTCCACATGATTTTCAACAATAATGGGAGCACCATCACTAAGCTGATTTATGTCTCTTTCCCATTCTTTCAGCCGTAACAAAACTTCTTTTCGCTTCTCTGCAAAGGCAATTAAAGCAGATTCTGAACCAAAGCTGTTTTCAATCTCCAAGTGTTTCATCATTGTATTTGCATTCTCTTTCATTGTTCCTGAAACTGTAAGCAGCAAGTCTTTTTTTATTTTTTTTGCACTTAGGTTAGAGTTGTAGAAATCTGCAAGTGAGATTCCTCTTAGTTTCAAAATAGTTGCAAGATCATCTGGTGAAGACTTGCAAAGTGTGCTGATTAAATTCTTTATTTTCAATTTTTCAGAATCAGAACTGCTGTCCTCACTTAATTTCCTCTTTCTCCTGAAATAAGAAAAGTTACATTTCTCAATAATAAAAAAACACAGAATATATGCATTAACATACAAAATAAAATGAAAAAAAGAATTTTTTAACATAATATGGTACAATAGGACAGTACTTCCCAAACTCTGTGGTGCAAGATTTTTGCAATTAAGTAATTTTTATTTAGTAATGTAAATTTATTATCAACTTATTATATTTTTAAAATTTCAAACTTTTCTCCTTGATACACAATATAACAGTAATTTCTGCCTGTTTCATTCAAGTTGGTGCCACTAGGACTGCCATACGGACTTATTTACATATGCCGCACAAAGTTTGGGACATTAAAAGTGCGCTGCGAGCTGAAAAAGTTTGAGAAGCACTGAAACAGGAGAAATACAAAACAAAACACAATACATCCACTGGAAATAAAAAAGTAATGAAAGAATAGTTTACACAGAAGATTATTTTTATTATTATTATTATTAGTTTTATTATTTAATCTATAATCTCTACTCTACATAATAGTGAAGAAGATGAGTTAATCTGCAATTCTCCCCTAATAAACTTTAAATATATAACATTGGATAGTATCTATAAAATAAGCATGAACATTGCTCTGAAAGGTCTTTCATACTTATTACACTTCATTACTTTTTACATAACATTGAACATACTATTATGTCCATTACTGTGTATTTTTCAATCCAAGCATTTTGAAACTATTGATAACAGCCAGAAACTTAAGTCGTACTTTTTAAAATACTGAATTCAATACAATCTTTTTTTAAATACATATTTCTATTAAAATGAGATCTAAACAGTAAAGATAAGGCTACAAGCTGTACAGTTCTGAAAGCAAAGGGTCCTGGAATAGGTGCCTACTGGACAGTTGATGCAAGAAACAACTAAGGAATTATTAGAATGGAATATGACCAAATGATCCACCAACAGGGGTAGGAATGGGAACATGTTCAATGAACATCGTAAAGTATGAGCACATTAATATGAAGTGACTACTCGTCTTGTGTCTAAATACCAGAAGTCAGATATTCGTTCAGAGATGTGCCTTAATCAGAAGGATGCACAAGTGAATAATTAGATCCAGTTTGGGAGTAGGTAAAGGAACACCAAAAGTAGTATGGGCATGGTCCAGTCACTATGACAATTCCTCAAGGAGAGGGAAGGTTCATAAATGATGACAACAAATGATGTGTGTGGAACAGGTCTGATAGCATGGTTGTGATGAGGTCCTGGTCCTGTACCACCTCTGATAGACGCTGGCAAATTATGGGATCCTGAGGAGAAGGGAAGAAACAAGTACCTGAGACAAGAGAGGTTGGGCAAGAAATGGAATTTCGAGGCCCTCTGACAAAACCTGAAGAACCCAAACATCAGTGATGAAAGGATGTCACCGATGAACGAAGGCTGCAAGTTGAGCTCCCACTAGGTAGTCACTGGAACTATTGGTAGCATACTGTGTGTCATCAAGAAAAACTACAAGATGTGGCACTGTGAGGAGGGACAAGTAAGGGTTAGGAAGGGGAAGGATGGGAAACAGGAATTGGCACTACACTCGGCTCCAAGACAAATGGGCTACTAGATGGGAAGGGTAGATTGTTGCTGGACAGATACCATCCGAGACTCCATGGACTCTGGGGCCATATCAAAGACAAGACATCTTAAAAACAGAGCCATATACAAATCCCAGACATAAGGAGCAGGTAAATGGGTTCTAGATAAAACAGCATCACAACCTGAAAGGCCCCAGGAACAAATAAATCACATTTCTAAAGCTAGAGCCTCAGACGACAAGTGAGCCAACGTAGAGGTAAGGAAAAAGAAGATGTCCCCAGAAAATTCCTCAGGATTTCTGTGAAGAGCCTCAGACAGGAGATAGATTGTGGAAAGGTATCACAAAAGACTCATGAGGGTAAGACAGAGGATGGAAAATTGGGCGTGGGTGAGACTAACAGGAGATTTGGGGCCCTCCTACCAAAAAAGGTAAAAACCAAACCCAACAGTTGTTGGTTGAGATATGGACAGTCAGACCTACGATATGCGAGAGCAGACTGATCCAAATCTCAACCGAGAGGCGAATTGTTCAGCATGAACCCGAATGTCAGGGGACAAAGGAAATACCAAATAAGGTTTAGAATATTTATACAGTAATGAAGGACACAGGTCATAAGATATAGGAGCAAGGGATAAAACATCACATAACTGAGAAATAAAGTCCGAACAGATTCCAATAGGGGGGGGGGGGTGCAGAAGGCTTGTGGCACGTGTAATAAAAAAGTCTGTATAAAGAGAGCAGCGATGAATGAGAATAGCTAATACTGTGATCAGAAGGAAGTATCATATCAGAAGTTTAAAAATATGAAACAAATACAAAAAATACATTCTTTTTTTCTAGAATGAAAGCAGACTGTAAGAGAGAATTACAATTATTTATCCTAAACAGCCTCAGACTCATAACAACTCAAACCTATTTTTCAGTTGATTTTCTTTTCTTGCCCTTTGATCACTCTCTAACTAGTGAAACAAAGCAATAAATTACCCAGTGAGAGCTTAGTGCAAGTTACAGTAAAGTATTAAGTTACATCATGCAGAAAGAAGCCCACAATAAAAATTTTTATTACTTAGCCTAATAAATTTCTAATTTTAACATATTAATACCTTTTGTTAAAAGGTATATAATAATAAATAAAAAATATATACATAAAAACCAAGAAAATTTGTACTTACTTTAGCTTCGAGACCTTTAGTAAGCCTATTATTTTCTCACTATATTGTAGCTTTCAAATATGCATTTTAGAACAACAACAACAAAATACATCAGCTGCAAAATTGAAATGTCCTAAAATACACTAATATACCTGACTTTCTATCTAACCTATAAATACCTATCATTACTTCAGTACAAACACATCAAGCTCTAATGTTGAATTATCAGATCCTACTGCTAAAACAAAACAGACAATATATTATTTAGACAACTGTCAATCTTTGTAGTATAGAATTTGCTCTTTCTATTGGTTATGAACATGATCAACAGCAATGTCAGAGAATTATAGGTATTTCTTAAAAGACAGAATATATGGGAGAGACATGTTAGGTGTTTGAAAAATATAGTGATACCTCAGTAAAGCAAGAGGTTGAAATTTTATATTCTGGCTTGTCAACTTCTGTAGTGCATGTTTCTATGTGGAAGAACAATCTGAAGCCCTTGTAGGAAAGAGAAAAATCTATAAATGAGAAGTCACATGACTCTGAGAGGTACAGATTAAGAATGTATGAATGATAAATCTAACTGGTTTCCATAATCAGGTATAATATGTCACTTTTTTCACATGGGATATTAACTTCAGATCACATGACTGGGAGAAGTGCCATTAAACTTCATCTCTAAAGCTCTCACTTTACTCTTTTTTTAACATAAAAAACAAGAAATTAAATATTTAACCAATCTTTTTTTTCTTGCTGTCAGTTTTCGAAGAGAGTTAACCCTAAGTTTTTATACTATAGAGAGTAAAGCATGTAATATCTTTTATTTAATTAAATAATGCACCAAATAATATAGACTAATAACATGCAAATAGTAGACAAATTCTCTCACCTCTTAAAAGATTTCTGGCTTTCTAACTATGCGACAAGAATCGTTACAAATTCATCTAAACTAGTCGTTAATTTTTTCACAGAAACGACGTTGGTACCCTGAGTGAAATTGTCATCTAACTGTTCAGAACATAACATTATACAATACATCATTTGATAGATGAAAACCTTGACTTTCTATTGATTATAGGTAATATATAATGAAATGTATGATAGAACTATCAACGAATTCTGAAAGAGAGGATGTGACAAGTGGGTGTAGCAGGAGAGGTCTGATTTTCTATTAGATGGCTCTGTAACCAAACAAAATTGAAGGCTATAAAAATTATGGTCTGAGCAATAATGATTTTATAGATAGTATTTTACATTTAATTTCGTACAATTTTGAGGGGTGATGGATAAAGTAGGGATGATGACATGCTAAAACAAAATGTGTGTCACACTAGTGGAAATTCAGGATTTTTTAATATATTTCCTTGTACAATTAAGAACTTAAAACTTATATACTATTCAAATATGGATTATTAGCTAAGATTTTATGCTATTCTAATTGGTATAACATAAACAAAAAGTAGTTTAATAAACTTTTAATGTAAGACACTAAAACCTTGTGTCATCGCAGTAAAGGATACCTGTGGCGATAGGGTTAAAGATTAGTTTAACTTAAATGTGAATGGCAAGCTAGGTAGAATTCTACTGGCACAAACATAAGTTACATAATATACATCAAATCTTACAACTGCATAAGTTATATAATATACATCAAATCTTACATGTTCTCCCTATTGCTGTGGAACTTCTTTAATAACATCTGGCAGCCAACAAGATTTTTAAAAGGTTCCCATGTGTTAAAATCATCATGCCAATTTTTCCACTTCACGAAATACCATCCTTTTCCCTGTTAATTTTGGAAAAGAAAACAGATTTTTATCATCAACTTCCTTAAAAAAAATAAAAACATGATACATAAATACGTTTAGGGATTTAAAAAAATTATCAAAAGTAATTTGTTAATGGAATAGAATCTTTACCAATTAAACTACCACACCTGGAATGGTGTAAATCTGACATCACTGGTTATTAAAATGTTTTTTTTCTTGTTTGTCTGTTTGCTCTAGACTGAAATTCATAATTGCTGTTTTTTACATTTTTTGTTAAAGATGCTTTGGTTTCTATAAACCCTAAAATATATTAAATAACAAGATTAAATATATAAAGTACTCACTGGTTAAAATAAGGTTTCCTTTATAAAAAGAATAATTAAAATATCACAAAGAAAAATTTTAAGCTTAAAAAGAACACAAGGTTAAAAATCCAAATGTGAAGAATCATAAAAATACTGCATTGCTTCTATAAATTTCTTTGAAATGAAGTAACGACTGGATTAAGTCACAAGTAATAATCAAGTAAAATGTCAGTAATGTGTATCAAAGGATCTCAGTTCGAAAACTATACATGACATAAACAGTCATCTATAAATGAAACTAGTCTTTTTTTTCATGTTTTAAAAAATGACTGGATTAAGTCACAAGTAATAATCAAGTGATCATCTGAATAACTAGACTCAAGATAAACCTAATGTAATTGCAAGCAGCTTACAGATGTCTACATTGTAACAACTGTAAGCAATCATGCTAAGCACAGTTGTCCTTAATTTTCAGAATAGATAGTAAAATACAGAAAGTTCAAATTTAATATTCTTGGGTTGGCAATGAAATAATGAGTTTTCCATGTTAGGAGAAACTTGTATTCATTATTTTTTTCTGTAGATTCTTCTTTCTTTAACTGATTGAAATATGTCTATAACTGTTCAGTTATTGAAGAATGTACATTTGAGTGTAAATAATTAAAATAATAACATTTCAATGTTAAGATTTGTACTAATTATTTCTTATATAGATTTTGATTTCTTTTTAACTGGATGACATCATGTATCTATTAGTGTTTAGTTATTTAAAACTGTGGATTTAGTTCCACTATGCTATTAAAGTAACTGTTCATAAAAACATTTTTAAATATTTTATATTTGTACCTCCTTTATAATTACCTTTTCTCAGAACGTAAAAAAAAAATTACTCCCTGATGGCTATGTTGAAAGCTTAAAGAGATTATAACATTAAACTTTGGAAAGGTCAAACTCTACCATAGCCACAGAACAGATAGCTCACCGTACAGCCTTGTGCTTAAAACAAACTCAGCAAAATTAATTATATATTTTTTCTGGTCATAAAACTTCTAATAAGGTTTTAAAACTTGTGATCTCTGAAATTTATACACAGCAAAAACTGTACTATCTTTGGTGTTTACTGAAATTTTATATTTGTTTGTTGAATTTTGCCCAAAGCTAATTCAGGGCCATGTGCCCTAGTTGTCCTCAATTTTGAAGTTACAGACAAGAGGGAAGACAGCTAGTCAACACCACCCACTGCTAACTCTTGGGCTACTCGTTACCAGTGAATAGTGGATTAACCATCAAATTATAATGCCCAATAGTGCTGAAAAAGCAGGCATGTTCAGCTACAGGTTTTGGTCCCACAACCCACATATTGAAGTCGAACACCATAACCAATTATGACTCAAAAAAGAAAGCCAAATAATGATTATTTCAAATATAGGCATGTGTTAAAAAAGGCAAACTTACCTGATCTTTAACATAGTCCACTATATCTTCCACTTCAAAAATATCTGCAATTGAACAAAACTTGTTAAATTTTAACCACGAGTATGTAAACTATTAGCCTTGCATACTTTAATCATTTACAAGCCTGTTTTACATTATCACAAGCAAGCTTTCCTTTAAGCCTTTCCATAGATCCAAAGTAGACCCAATTTAAGTGCCTTATAACTCATTAAATACCCAGGTTTTGAAAGCATTGCTTGATGTGGTTTCGCTTACTAGATAAGATGATCAGTTTGTCATTTTTGATCACATCATTCAGCACAAAATGCTTTTGTACTAGAGGTGTTACATTACCTTATCATGTTATGTTTTCCCAGCTTTAAAAGTAAAACTAAAAACTAATATTTTTACTTATAAAAAAAACCTTTTTCATAATTTTCTAGCTTAATTTTGATATTATAACACAAATTGCACAAATATGCTTGACATCAGGTTTTAACAGAAAACAGCTTGAGGTAAACAAGTTCATTTTACAGTCATGTACCAGATCTTACAAAAAAAAGACACTAGATTACAAGTGTTATAATTTTCCAACACTGAAAATGTATTTCCAACAGATACTTACTTCCACTCACACACACAGCTATTCTCCTTCAGTGCTGCCCTCTATTAGCAAATATTTTTTGCATGCCACAAGCCTTTCACTCCCACACACACACCTCGATTCACATAGTTTTACTGATTCTCACATGTAAATCATTATGCAACAAACCACCACCAATAATAAAGTCACACATCCACGTGACACATATGACTCCCTCTATGCTCTTCTACCTAACTACCACTTTGAGTTTAGGCAGAAATGTAAGCACCAGTTAACTGTGGGGAGGAAGGGTACGAAGTGTGAGTGGAAGTAAGTATGCGTCGGAAATACATTTTCAGTGTAGGAAAATTATTACTTCTGACAAAGTACCTTACTTCCACTCACATACATAGCTAGAATCCCACATTGAAGAGATGGTGGGACATGTGCGAGAGAGAAAGAAGAAGCATCCTTCAAAAACATCTGAAGGACACCCTAATGAGGGAAATGTCTAATAAGAGGATTATACGTGGGAGACCGCACCACTTTTATACCAGGTATACCCCTCGCCCTGATGTAGAAAAGATGTGACAGATTTGGGCAGAAAATTGTAAGGAGCACATCTCAGTGGGAAATAAAATGGTTGGATAGTGATCCTAGCCACAATATATTATAATTTAAATCTCCCTGGTGAACAGAATGTGGGTAAAATAAGGGATGTGCCCCAAGGAGTAGAGTGGCTAGGGCACAATGGATCAGACATGGCAAGTCTACTGTGTCCAAAACTCGACTGCTGGGAACCGACATGTATGCAGGGGTAGGATGAGGATCATACCATCTACACTTTAAGTTCAGCTGATCATATGGATAAATCTTACCACCAATCTGTGAACAGGGCACAAGTGAAAAGGGTGAAATAACATGCACTCAAATCAAACAGATTAGAATCACCTCAAACATAGTAACATCCTCAATATAAAGACATTGAGGGGTAATGCTAGAGGAAGAAGCAGAACAAGCAATAAGTGCACCCACCGGGACCCACAATACTGCAGTAGTGCACTCAAGGCAAATTGAGTGAGGAGCCAGGGGCATCCAGAGCACATGTGTGAGAACTTAGGTTGATTGGTTCAGCTCTAAATCCAAAACCCAACTGCCGGGAACTGACTTACATGCAGGGGTAGAAAGAGGGATCACAATCATTATTACAGTGCACTCCAAAGCTACAACATCCTCTTGGCCAAACCCATGAAGAGATGGAGCATCCATTTGGAGGACATATCATCTACACCCTACTCTAAACTGAATGGAGCTTTTATTGTTTATATTGTATATCTCTCATTCAAGAGGATACATCCATGGTCCAACACCCCAGTAGCTTGGAATTGGAAAATGGTAAGGACTATCTTAGTCATCTGGAAACAAAGGGGGTAGGGGGGTGCAGTGGAGAGTCTGGAGGAATGTTCACACCAAAGACAGTGCAATGGGTGATCACAAAATCCTAATTTGAAAAGCAGACCAAGCCTGATTTATTCAATCTAAAGAATGGCACAGATGGGCAGCAATCCACTTTTGCTACTAAATGCAGTCCTTGGGAAGAAAATTGATGGAAGGAAAAAACTAAAGTTATAAACTGGATCTAATCCTGTCTGAACATATTGACAGACAGGGCAAGTGGATGATGAACTAGAGACCAAAAACAAAAGAAAGAGGTAACTTGGAATCGAGAAAGGACTCAAATGCTTTCTGTGAAGGATTATCTCATAGAAGACAGAGCCCCTGAATATTTGAGGATCAAGAGGCTACTCCTTAGGAAAAAGTGTGTAAAAACTGGAAAGGCAATCTGTAACAATGACAAAAACACCTGGAACACAACACACCAGGAAACATATGTCAAGTGTGTGGGTTCAAAAAGGTAGATCCACTGTACCACAAAGGGAACAAGAACAAGTGCTCCCTCGGTGATTGATATAAGCCACCACCATAGAATAGTTGGAATAAAACATAATTAGTCAAATTGAATTAAGGGGAAGAAAGTGAACTAAAGCACGTCGGACTAGTGGTAGTCATGCCCACCAACTATGGAGATGAGCATCAGGGAAGAGAAACAAATCCTGGGGAGGGGGAGTAAGCAGCAAACACGACAACTTGAAGGATATGTTCAACCACCAATGCATCTAGTCAAAGAAGGAAGGAGGACAGTTAAGAGAATAATCTAAAGGAATGCTAGCAAAAGACTATGGGTTATGCAGTGTCTCCTGAAAAGATTGCAAGTGAGCCAGATTCAAAGGGAGAAGTGCTTCCATGGATGCCATATCCCCCAATGCATTAGAATCTTGATAGCAGTAAGATAGTGAACTGTAATGCCATGGATAACAGCAAGTTCTATCAAATGCATTCAAGGAGGTAAATGGATGATCCCAACGGAGATGGGTGTTTAAAAAGACACTCCCCAAATAGACGAGACTATTAGATGGGCAACTATCCAAGCTGCCTGTGTAAGAAGCAGATGAGTATGTTATAACCATCCCCATTCAGAAGGAGCTAATCAAAACCAGACGTCCAAGTAGTGGTGTTAGTACCATCCCCCAAAATCCAGAAGTCGGATAAAACGCAGACCACCTGACAAAAGACATATGGAACCAAAACAAGTCTGAAGAGCAAGGCACAAATCTGGTGCCAAATCACGTGGTGAAAAAAACCTAAGATAGCATCCTGAGAAATGAAAATTAAGAACATGTACTGTCGACATTCTCAGTCCTATAGAAATTGCCCACCTTATTATGATCAAAGACTACATATCAAAACAGGGAAGATCCAAGAAGTGATTGTAGTGGGACCGATCGATCCAGAACTCCAATCAGCACCGAGCATACACGACGAATGGAGAAACCTGTAGGTAGGACAGGTAAAGGACGGAAAAGTGCCGGACATGGAACATGAAGAAAGATGGCAATGGCTCAAAATGAAACAAAAGAGCAACCAAAAAGAAAAAAAGAACTGAAGATGGCAAATGCCCCAACATAGAGGAAAGGAGGAGGAGGTATCCCGCAAAAATCCCCTAGATATAGGTGGATCTCCTAAGAAAGGAGGTGTAAGGCAGACATTTCCTGTAGGAGAGTTGATAGGATAAGATGAAGCTTGAAAACTAGGTGGAGGATACAATGGATAGGATTAACAGAGACTGCCCCCATACAGGCAGCAGAGATTCTAAATATATAGAATCAAAAAGAAAATATTTCTGATGATAAGCTAAGGTAAAATGAACCAAAGCCTGTGTAAGGTGAGGCATGCAAGTACCCTCTTCCAAAAGAGACAAAAATGCTCATCATGAAACAATGTCTGGAGAAGAAGGGGAAAATTATACTGTGAAACATGTCTAAAAAAAGAATGAGGTAGGCAAAGCAGATTCTGCAGTAGAGGCCTGGAAATGCAAGCTATAATCAGGTGGAGGAAAACTGACAAAATCTAAGTCGCCCGAAATGAGTTCAGCAGTTGTTAGAGGAAGGCGAGCAATATCAGGAGAAGGTAGGGCAAACCCCAGCCCACAGGAGTCCTCACAAACTAAATTAATTGTAAGAAGTATACATTATAAAGAATTATGAAAATGAAATAGTCATTATAATGTAAATATAAGTAATGTGTAGTGAAATAAACATATGTATTAGATGTTAAGTGTTGAAGAAAACAAGATATTTAACCTAATTATTGATTTACCCATAAGAAGAACTACAGGTAAACCAAAAATAACACACTTGTTAAGCCTAATCAAACTGTGCAGGACAAAGTATATCACTAAGCTCTAATATAAAAACCCTAACCTAACAATAAATATGTACAATATCATGTAAAGAAGTTTGTGCAAACCCCAGCTCCACACAAACAAAGTTAGTATGGAGAAGTATAAAAGATAAATAACAACAAAAATGAAATAGACTTTATATTGTAAAATTAAGTAAGTATGTATTGACAATAACATATGTATGAGATGTGATGTTTTGAAGAGAAACAATATAATTAACCTAATTTACAATATACCAGTAAGATGAATTACAGGTAATCCTAAAATAATCAGACCCATGTTAAGCCTAATCTAACATTACAAGACAAAGGTTACAACTAAGCTCTAATTTCAAACCTGAACTTGACTATGAATATTGACCAATATAACTAAACGTATGATGTTGAACCCAAATAACTACAGATAATAATAATATTAATAGTAAAAATATTCAAAAAACATAACAGCATAACATCTTATCTTTCCAATGTCAGCAGACTGTATTTCAAAATGTGGGCCCTCAAATTCGAGTTGAAGCCCAACAAAAGTCAGATCATTGGATGATCAATCTCCAAACAAAGTAAAGCTGATAATTCCCCAGTCAAGGACCATCATGTGAAGCTTGTGTAAATGTGCTGATAGAAGATATAACCTCCGAAATAGTAACTTAAAATTTGGATTTCATAATTCAAAATTAATGA